AACACAATATGACTATTAAACCCTCCACTTTTTCAATATTTATGGCATTGGATTGAGTGGCTGCTGCGATCCAATGGGCTGCTCTGTTGGCAGATCTCAGTTGATGATGGAAGCATAGGTTCAGTTGTCTTTGCATAATCTCGAATGTCCACAACGAATGCAGAACTAGGCCGATTTGATTGTTTATAACTGGGTAGTAATACTGTTATAATGATGACGTGATATCACAACTACATGAAATGTTTCCTCGGTTTCAAATATAATGCTGCACTAAGTTAGGATACACTTTTCCCAAAACAGTGGTAGCGTAAATTTATAAGTTCTCTTTTCAAATATGTTTGCAATACTAGTTAGAATTGTTAAAAGTAGAGTCTCCATGTTCATAAGTTCAGCTTACGAGATTAAACACGCATACAATCGGGAATTTGAATTTCTAAGAATTCAAAGCTGAGGGATCTGCAATCTTTTTTAGGTTTTCTGTTCACAATGACATTATTATCTCATAACATCAATAATCATGCTTCTTTGACAACGCATATCTACAGCAACTAGGTGTTTTAAATCCTGCAGAACCTCTTATTTCCGTTGTCATAGACTACTAAACATGTTCAATTGTTTAACTGGAAGTGCATCAACAAATGCAAATGTTTGATAACACTCTAGCACAGGAAAACTTCGGAGGACACTGAAAATTTAAGCTGTGGAATTGGCAAGTCAATAATGAAATGTCTGGTCTATGCAGTTTAGGTATAGAAGAGACAATCCACCTATATTGTATAATGTATGAGGAATGAAAAGCTCTGTCACTGTAAGGAAGACAATCAATTACCACTGTAAGGAAGACAATCAATTACCAATGATATGAAGGTCCTCAGGGGCATCATTATCGAAGAATTATCACCATATCACCGAAACACTGGTTTACACGAGTATTCCCGGGTATGACACTAAGCATCCTTTAAGGCACCAATGTCTCCATCCCTGTACCGCTTAAAAATACTTCATTTATCCTCATTCCAGTCCACGGGTAAATTCTAATCCTCGCTAACGGCCTTCACCTCCGTCACCCTCCACCCACCTTTACACCCGCCATCAGCAGTTGAACAAAAAAAAAAAACAAAATCAGCACATATGTGCATAAATTAGAAACAGCATCATCTCTTCAAAAAATTCAACCAAAAAAAGAGCCCAAAAATCAATCTAACACATCTCTTCAGCGTTTGATTATTACGAACATCAAGAAAAAAGAAGAGAGAGAGAGAGAAGGCTGTGTGTGGGCGGCGTAAGGCGAGGGCTGAGACAATACTATGAGGCTTGAGTTGGATTTAGGGCCGAGTTGAATTAGATTTAGGCTTTGATATATATATATATATTAAAAAAATGACAGGTTTAACGGGGAGGGGCCGGGAAAAGTTATGGTCTACCCCTGCATTTATCTTATCATCGGTTTATACAGATATTCCCGTATACGTCTACTATCCAATACATATAGTCCATTCTCCGTCCATAGGGGACAAGTTTTGATGGATCCCCGCTTTTTTCCAGTCCACTGACATTAGGGTCAGGTTGGTTCCTCAATTTTCTACATTTCTTTTAGCACTACAAAATACAACTTCCACAGTAAAAATGGTTACTTTCACACCATCATCTACCTATACCAATTGTTCCTCTTTTGGATATCGGAGCAGACGTTTTACCAATGGCAATAGGGTATCAATCAAATATTACATCAAAAACACCAAGGGTATGCATAGAAAGAGACTCCAAAAATTAAACAAGTATAACGATAGTTTCCAATTGAAGGTCCTCAGGGGCATCATTATCGAACAATTATCACCATATCACCGAAACACAGGTCTACACGAGTATTCCTGGGTATGACACTAAGCATCCTTTAAGGCACCAATGTTCCAAGAGCTTGAGTTTCAAAAAATTCAACCAAAAAAAGAGCCCAAAAATCAATCTAACACATCTCTTCAGCGTTTGATTGCTAAGAAAATCAAGAAAAAAGAAAAGAGAGAGAGAGAAGGCTGTGTGTGGACGGCGTAAGGCGAGGGCTGAGGCAATACTGTGAGGCTTGAGTTGGATTTAGGGCTGAGTTGAATTAGATTTAGGCATTGAATTATATATATATATATTAAAAAAATGACAGGTTTAACGGGGAAGGGCCGAGAAAAGTTATGGTCTACCCCTGCATTTATCTTATCATCGGTTTATACAGATATTCCCGTATACGTCTACTATCCAATACATATAGTCCATTCTCCGTCCATAGGGGACAAGTTTTGATGGATCCCCGCTTTTTTTCAGTCCACTGACATTAGGGTCAGGTTGGTTCCTCAATTTTCTACATTTCTTTTAGCACTACAAAATACAACTTCCACAGTAAAAATGGTTACTTTCACACCATCATCTACCTATACCAATTGTTCCTCTTTTGGATATCGGAGCAGACGTTTTACCAATGGCAATAGGGTATCAATCAAATATTACATCAAAAACACCAAGGGTATGCATAGAAAGAGACTCCAAAAATTAAACAAGTATAACGATAGTTTCCAATTGAAGGTCCTCAGGGGCATCATTATGGAACAATTATCACCATATCACCGAAACACAGGTCTACACGAGTATTCCCGGGTATGACACTAGGGTATCAATCAAATATTACATCAAAAACACCAAGGGTATGCATAGAAAGAGACTCCAAAAATTAAACAAGTATAACGATAGTTTCCAATTGAAGGTCCTCAGGGGCATCATTATCGAACAATTATCACCATATCACCGAAACACAGGTCTACACGAGTATTCCCGGGTATGACACTAAGCATCCTTTAAGGCACCAATGTTCCAAGAGCTTGAGTTTCAAAAAATTCAACCAAAAAAAGANATCCTCCTTCCACATTCGTGACAAGTCAATTGGATAAGAAAGCAATGGATCAACTGGCCTAAGTTCACCCAATTTATTCAATCTAACCTCAAATCGCCTTGAGCCCACTTCATAATCAATCCAAGCTTGCAATTTCTCANACTCTTCAGCGTTTGATTGCTAAGAAAATCAAGAAAAAAGAAAAGAGAGAGAGAGAGAAGGTTGTGTGTGGGCGGCATAAGGCGAGGGCTGAGGCAATACTGTGAGGCTTGAGTTGGATTTAGGGCTGAGTTGAATTAGATTTAGGCATTGAATTATATATATATATATATATATATATATTAAAAAAATGACAGGTTTAACGGGGAGGGGCCGGGAAAAGTTATAGTCTACCCCTGCATTTATCTTATCATCGGTTTATACAGATATTCCCGTATACGTCTACTATCCAATACATATAGTCCATTCTCCGTCCATAGGGGACAAGTTTTGATGGATCCCCGCTTTTTTCCAGTCCACTGACATTAGGGTCAGGTTGGTTCCTCAATTTTCTACATTTCTTTTAGCACTACAAAATACAACTTCCACAGTAAAAATGGTTACTTTCACACCATCATCTACCTATACCAATTGTTCCTCTTTTGGATATCGGAGCAGACGTTTTACCAATGGCAATAGGGTATCAATCAAATATTACATCAAAAACACCAAGGGTATGCATAGAAAGAGACTCCAAAAATTAAACAAGTATAATGATAGTTTCCAATTGAAGGTCCTCAGGGGCATCATTATCGAAGAATTATCACCATATCACCGAAACACAGGTCTACACGAGTATTCCCAGGTATGACACTAAGCATCCTTTAAGGCACCAATGTTCCAAGAGCTTGAGTTTCAAAAAATTCAACCAAAAAAAGGGCCCAAAAATCAATCTAACACATCTCTTCAGCGTTTGATTGCTACGAAAATCAAGAAAAAAGAAGAGAGAGAGAGAGAAGGCTGTGTGTGGGCGGCGTAAGGCGAGGGCTGAGGCAATACTGTGAGGCTTGAGTTGGATTTAGGGCTGAGTTGAATTAGATTTAGGCATTGAATTATATATATATATATATATATATATATATTAAAAAAATGACATGTTTAACGGGGAGGAGCCGGGAAAAGTTATGGTCTACCCCTGCATTTATCTTATCATCGGTTTATACAGATATTCCCGTATACGTCTACTATCCAATACATATAGTCCATTCTCCGTCCATAGGGGACAAGTTTTGATGGATCCCCGCTTTTTTCCAGTCCACTGACATTAGGGTCAGGTTGGTTCCTCAATTTTCTACATTTCTTTTAGCACTACAAAATACAACTTCCACAGTAAAAATGGTTACTTTCACACCATCATCTACCTATACCAATTGTTCCTCTTTTGGATATCGGAGCAGACGTTTTACCCATGGCAATAGGGTATCAATCAAATATTACATCAAAAACACCAAGGGTATGCATAGAAAGAGACTCCAAAAATTAAACAAGTATAACGATAGTTTCCAATTGATTCAACATCAAACTCCAAATGGAAACTATCATTTCAATTGAATAAGACTTGAGAATACTAAATATAATGACTCGTTAACCATTTTCCACCTAAAAGGAAACAGCATAATAGGAAGCATTTGATGAACAATGACCTCGGTTTGACTACCCAGTGAAAAAGCAGAGTGAATCAGCAGCAGGAGGATAGAAGCCAATACATCATATGACTAAAGACACGAAAGATCAGGCTATACAATCACAAAAGGAACTACAAGTGTTGTCAATAAAAGTGGAATCCAACCACCTTGTGGTCAAGTCCGAATTTTGTTTGCTGTGTCTTTGTTCCATTGCTCAGTCTAAAGAATAATTCTGGAATAAATGATGCAGTTGTTGTAATAAATGAGTAAATAACATGCTTGCTTGTGGAGGAGATATATGAAGTCAACATTCCATTCCCAAACTTCAAGCTGTATCCAAATGATTGTAGTGCTGCACAACATTAACAGATCCACACTCGAATGATTGATCATTAAACTACAGCAACATACTAAAAACCAAACCAAACCAAACAAGCATTTACAAAACATCCAACTAAACCCACCTACTGCTTGCCATCTTCTATGGCTTCATCTACAACTACATTAAACTTTTTGTACTCGACCTCAGGGTGCACAACATTTTCCTCTGGCACCACTGGACGCCTCTTCCCAAATACAGTCCACATATACAAGACAACCGATGCTCCCAATGCTCCACATCCGGTGCCAAATATCAGGGCAGCAAGGACTCTCAAAACACAATCACTTCTCTTATCAAGAGTTGCAGCTTTTGTCTTGTCCACGAAAGCCTTAGGATCCAGTGGTTGGGAATGCATCCAATGTGGTACCTGCCGTAGCTTAAAGCTCCATGAATACACATTGCATTTCTGAGATGAATTCCCACTTGATGAACTTAACCCCACAAAGACCTCATCCTCCTTCCACATTCGTGACAAGTCAATTGGATAAGAAAGCAATGGATCAACTGGCCTAAGTTCACCCAATTTATTCAATCTAACCTCAAATCGCCTTGAGCCCACTTCATAATCAATCCAAGCTTGCAATTTCTCACCACTATTCAGCACCAAATTGAGGGGAGAAACATTGCTCACTTTAGCAGATACAAAACTATCAACATCCAAGCCAACATGATTACCATTCACATCACCATACTTAACATCCATCGAGGTATCAAATTCGACACCGAGAACCCTCATTTTTGTCTCCCTCAGCATCCCAAATGAGCCACCATCAAACACATTCAAAGGAAACCCAAATGGAACCATCACAAAAGCTAAACCATCCCCATTTTTTGGCGACAACGAAAATGAGAAATAAGTTGAAAAAGACAACATTTGTTTAGGTTCACCTACACCAAGCTTAATTGGTATCTTATACATCACTCTCCCAGCACCAGAAATGGATGAACCAGTGATTTGTACGGAGAGACTGTCATTAGCAACCTTAGCATCACCATATAGAGCAAGTTCGGACTCAAAGTTCGATTCTTTACCAAAATTCTTGAAAGAGAATGATGAATACGGGTATGCAGTGAGGGTTTGGAGGTACAAAATGAAGAAAGAGAGGATTGCAAAGTACCTGGAAGTGGAAAATGTTTCCATACTCGATCTGGGTATGAGCTGAAAACTATGCTTTGCCGCTTGTTCTGGATTTACTAGGCATTGTGTGATGAACCCATCTTGTGATATTGATAGGTATCTAAATTTTTTAGGGTTTGAGTGCAGACATAGAAGGAGTGAAAAGCCCGGGGGAATGGGTTGGAGTGGTGGGGGTGGTGGGTTGGATTGGAGGTTGTGAAAATTAAATGCATTTTTCTTGTTTCTGCACAACACACCAACTCACTTTAGTTCTCCTGGTTGCTGACAGAGAATATAATATGAGGTTTTTTACAATTATATCCTTGTGTTTTACTGAAACTTACAGATAGAGGCATCTGACATGGTTAGTTTACTTCCATTTTCTTTCTACTTCCTTCTATTGCAGTTGACAAGTACTCCAAATCAGTGGTGAACTTTCTTACTGGTATCGAAGAGTTCTCCACTTCGTTATTTCTCATATCTTTTAAACATCAGTTACTGTTGTTCTTTAGAAGATATGGTAAAATTTGATCCAAATTTTTTAATGGTCAGAAACGAGAGTTTGTTGTACAATGAATATGATAATCCTACATAAAATAAAAATATTAGACATGTGATAAGAAATATAAAAATTAAGTTACATTTGAATAGATTTCGGTTATAGTATTTTATCTTTATAAATAAGAATGTATATTATGTAATTAGTTATTAGACGACTAATTTTTCAATAAATAATATTTCGATATAGATTTTTGATCTGTGGATATAGATATAGTGTACTGAGAGAGTATGCTATATTAAACTACGCTATATCTTTATATTTTGTTTTATTATTTTTCTTATCTTTGAATTCCTATATTTGAACTTATATTATTATTGTTAATTATCCGTTCTACAAAATCAACAAACGGTATCGGAGCTATTTTTCAAAAAAATATATATTTAAACTAGCCTAAATTATAATGATCGATTCAAAACTCGAGTAAGTAGCCGATATAAATCAAACATAACTCAACTTATTTAATTAATTGTGTTATGTCGATTTGACATATTTGTTTTCGTATTATGTTCGTGCTCGTATTCGTATTCGTATTCGTATTGACTCACATAAACTTTGAATAAAAAATTTAACGTTAATATTCTATTTTCACTTAATTGAATTAATGCTCATACTTTTTTTACAAATTAAAAATTAACTTAAATAAATATAATAATAAAAATAAATAAATAAATATTTTTTATATAATAATATGTCAATGCTTAAAAAATAGTTACAAATAATTAATATTTTATACCTATAATACTAGTTAAAATATTAATTTCGTATTAATTTTGTGTTACCCTAGAAACGAGAAAATTGAAAAAATATCTATTCTTAAATAAACAGGTTAATTGTGTCAAATTTAGGTTTGACAGGTTTAAATTGAATATGAGTCGTTTATATTTTGTGTTCGTGTGTCAAGTCGTTTTCGAGTTTATGCTGAGTTATAATTAAGTTCGTGTCATAAAATTCATATTGAGTTCGAGTCGTGTCATCGTGTTGAGTCAAAAATTTTCGCCCCTAGCTAAGATAGAAAAATATTTTTTTAATTTTTAATATTTTTATCTTAAAAATTTTTTAAAAAAATATAAATATATAAATGAAATTAATATATACATAATATATGTATATATATCAAAGATATATAAACAAAGAAAATATATTTCAACACAAATGATTAACTTTCTATCAACTTTTCTTTCAATTTTGAATTGATTGATTTTGGTGAGTTAGAAAGAAAGTTTATTCATCCACTTTTCTATCTTTTCTATTTTTCTTTCTCATAAAACATGATATTTTATTTATCCCTATAATTTTCCATTTTACTATTTTTCTATCATAGGAAACGGAGCATACGTGTTCGATGTTGATCAATATTTGTGCGTGTGTGGTGTGTTTTTCTTCGAGCAGTTGGTGATTTGAACCATTTGATATCTGCCACAATGTCTGGGGTCACATGCAGTTTACGATTCCCTGGACAGCTAAACTCTCTCTGACCTTAGAAAGCTTGCTGTTAACCTCGTCTCCATAAGCTCCACTTCTTCATGGTGGGTTTTACGCCTTTAACATTCCGTGGTTCCCAACAGTACAGTCCAATGGAGGAGTCGTAGTCATAATGACGGGCCACCTTCGTGGCCTTTAATTGGAACAATCCATCGGCCCAAAACTTCTCTCTATGATTTTATCTACTGGGTCTATCAAACTGCTCACAGACACCTAAATAGTGGGCCCAGTCGTAACCATGTTCCGAATTAATAATATTATTTAAATTTAATTTATTAATATAATTTACTAACGTAATTATTCATAACCAATAGCATTATCGGTCTCGGAAAACTTCCAAAGTAATGAGCCATTTGCCAACTATTATTTTAGAGGTACAACTTGGGCAAGTCACCTCGATTCCAACTCAGAAAAAATATGATTTAGATTGAAGTTTTTGAGATGTGAGTTGGACTTAGGCTAAAAAAACCTCAATTTGAATTAAATTCGAGCCATACTCGGATTTATAGGTGTAACCCAAAACCGAACTGGTTGAATAAATTCAGACTCAACCCAAAATAAAACTCATGGTTCAACCCGAACTATATATATAAGAGTTGGGCTTGGTTTAACATTTGCGTATGCGCATCCGCTCACTGCTCTCATCTCTCTCTGCCATCTCACAAACTGTAAATTGTACAGGGATTACAAAAACGACGTCGGGTTATAGTAGCTAAATTAGGGTTTCCATCCACCAGCCTCCTGTTGCGTCCTTCTTATAAGGGGAAGCTCCCACCCACCGTCTCAAGCTTTTGGCAGAGTCAGAGCTTCTCTCTTCTGAGGTCACTGACTGGTTCATATCACCTTCTTTCCCGTTTTAATTAATTAATTTTCTTGTTAAATTATTCTTCATTGTTTTTCTTTATTGTTTAATTATCTTCCTTACAGTTAATTTTTCGAACTTCACAAATTGTAATTAAGACGAGTTAATCATACCTTCCTGAGATCTAATTACCTCAACACACACACACATTTATGATTTATTTTTTACATGGGTGGGTGGGGGGCGGGGGTTTACTAATGCTTTGTTTGATAGGAATGATGGAAAGTAGGAATGATACACTTTCCTTCTTTTGTGTTTGATTGGATAGATAGAAAATAAAAATGACTATTTTTTTTTTTGTTGACTAAGATTAGGGGTGACAATCAAGTCGAGTTGTGCCGTGTCAGATTCGTGTTGAATTATTACGAGTTTGTGTCAAATATTAGTTAAACCTAACTTAACTCATTTAACTAATTGTGTCCTGTCGAATTGTAAGTTAACTTGTTTATTTTTGTATCGAGTTCGAGTTGTGTCATCGTGTTAAGTCAAAAAATTTCACCCTTAATTAAGATGGAAAAAATATATTTTTTTTAATTTAAAATTTTTATTTTTATTTTTATTTTTTTATTTTTTTGAAATTTTATTTTTAAAATTTTTTAAAATATATATACATTTGATCATTATATTTTTATATGAAATTAATATATATATAAAATATATAGACAAATAAGATACATCTTAACACAAATTATTAATTTTTTATCCACTTTCCTTCTGATTTTGGAGGGATTAATTTTGGTGAGTTGGAAGGAAAGTTAATTTATCAACTTTTTCATCCTTCTTACTTTCTTTCCTTATCAAATATAATATTTTATTTATCCCTCAAACTTTTCATCCTTCTAACTTTCCATCCTCCTATTTTTTCATCGTGCCAAACAAAGTATAAATGAGAGCAACATCAATAATGAGTTTTTTTTTTTTTTTTTTGTTATCCTTGCATTATGATTGCTACCGAAGAAAACCAAGACGGAAATTTCACTCCGAGATGCTCATTTTTTCTTGTTTATTCAATTTTGTTCTTCAATTTTTGGGTATTCGTAAGCTTTGTAACTGGGCTCTTTTTTTAATATCAATGGTTTGTGTTCGGCGAACTTTTGTTCGAGAATAGGGATATTTATAAGAGATAAATTATTTATAACCTAATCTTAAGATATTTCTAAGATTCAAATTCAAGATATCTAAGTTTATAACTCGTTTTTTTATCAACAAATTAGCACCATTCAAGTGAGTTCTAGCTAGGGGTGTAACTTGGGCGAGTTGAGAAATCAACCCAAAACATAAAATATTTAACCTTAACCCTAACTTTACCTCAACTCGAAAATTACCCATGATTTCGAACAAGCTTGGGTTGAAATCTAGTTACTCAATTCAATCTCAGCAAACAATAATCATAAATTAAGTGTGAATCTTAAAATAATATTAGACACTTAGGGCTCGTTTGGTTGCCGTATTAGAAATGAATTGATTAGATAAAATAATCCGGTCTAATACAATACAGGAAGACAAAAGACAAAACTAAATTTGGTATTAGAATAATACATAATTTTATCTAGTGTTTGGTAATACACAACATAAACGTTGGATAGTAATTATTTAATCTAATCGGTTATTTGGTTAAAGAATTATTTTATCGTATTAATGTTGAATTAACAAAAATACCCTCAATTAGTGTTTGTTACATTGATGACAGTTTAATTTTATCAGTTAGAGGGTTATAATTGTAAATGTGTAAAATAATACGTTTAAGTTGGATTATAATACCACCTTTTTTGTGGTATTAAAATACCTCCATAATACAGGTCTAACGTATAAAAAATATACGATAAGAAAACGATAAATATACATTTTTGAAATTAATACGGTGTCAAATTTACTTACCAAACAAAGTATTAGGTCTAATTAAATAAAAAATAATACAATACAATATTTAACCCTCTCATAATACGTCTACCAAACAAGCCCTTAGACTTACATAGAGGTGTTCACCTTACTCTATGGGTAAGAAATATAGTTTTTCGTCTTCTTACTAGATACTTTGTGAAATTTTTTTTTCTTAGCCTATCTTACTCGATTAAGTGTGGTATTCTTATCCGACTTCCTACCAAATTAATAGGGTAG